AAGGGTGTCCATAATGGACACTCGGCGCCCCCTCATTGGAGGGAGTGCCGACCCCACAGACCCTCTCTCCAATGATGTAGCACCAGGTGTCCATTATGGACACCCCGATGTTAGTGGTGATGTACCACTAGCATAATTCAACTTTGAGATGACATGAGTAATTTGTAAATTCGATTAGCGTACGATTGCCGGAAAATTTTTAAAATTAGCATGTTATTGAAATTCAAATTTATTGTGATTTTGCATCTGTTTGGTGGAGATTAAAATCAAATTTTAAGTAAATTTTGATAAAAGTTAAACAGTTATGAATTCCTTGAAATACGTTATTAAAATTAATTATTAACTTTGATTTAAATTAAAATTTAGATTTCAATCGACATCAAACACGATTTTATTAAAAAAACAAAAATTCTCAAAAGTTGGGGGCACTTGGGCCCAGGACCCCCCTAGGTCCGCCATGCCCTCACACGTCTACGTTTTATGTCAACATATCAAGTTTTCGTGCATTATTAGAATATGATTTTTTTCGAACTAGATTCACTTGTATCTTCATAGCCATCTCTTAAAAGTTTCAATTACATGAAAGAGGCAACCTTTGATCTGTATATTTTTCTTTTAAATGGACTAAGGTTATACAACACAGGAATTATAGATGGCCAAAATTGGTTTGTTGTTAAATTGAACATATATCACATAAATATTGAATCACATATCACACTAATTCAAGATCACATTTTATATTGAATCAAAATATATAAATACACTCATTATTTAGTGACATATAAACCTATTACTTTTTATTCAATTTAGATATAAAATCATTAATATTTGTATCAGAAGTACCACCTTCACAAACTGCCTCCATAGCCAAATCCCTCCATTTACTAGAAAATTTCTTCATTCCATTTCCCTTTTCCCCCTTCATTACTTCCTTTAAACAACCCTCAATTTCTTCTCTCCCAACAATCCCATTTTCATCAGCTTTTACCCTTAAACCCATCTTCCAAACATCCTCCACAAGCTTAGCATTCATTGTTTGATCTGTCCATTGAGGCATAACCACCATTGGCACCCCCAAGCTCAATGCTTCAATCGTTGAATTCCATCCCACATGCGAAAAGAAACACCCCAAGGCCTTGTTTGACAGCACTTTTAGCTGTGGACACCATGTAATAAACAAGCCCTTATCATCAGAAGTCTCCTGGACAAATTTTTTTGGGAGTTTTTCTTGCTCAGAAGCCTTAACCACCCACAAGAAGTGGAAATTGCTGTTTTTTAAGCCCATTGCAAGTTCTTCCACTTGCTTTTCCGGGAGAGAAACCATGCTACCGAAGGCTACATAAACGACAGATCCAGCAGGCTTATTGTTAAGCCAATTAATGCAGTCTGTTGAATCATATTGGAATAGGTTGAGTTCATAGTTGTTGTCATTTTCAATGCGGTTGTCCAAATAGAAAGAAGGAATTGTTGGCCCCACTGTTAACATCGAACACATTTTTGTCATTTCATCAATCACCTGTTAAAATGAACCGTGAGAATTAGATGGTTTAATATAAGTAATGGAAGAAAGATCCTCTGGGCACGTTTGGTACACTAGACTGGTTTAGATTGGAACACATAGCTAATTACTTACCTATATTTCTTGGCACATTCAGTGTGGTGGACTGGATAATACTGGAACACATAACTAACACACCTCTCTCTCTTAGCAATGTCTAGTCAAGTTTCATACTTTATAATCTCTTCTGTAATGCCCCTTTTTTCTTTATAAATCCTAAAGAAAGCAAGTAGTTGAGATTTCATTAATTTCAAGTAACTCTCTCCAGACTCTTACTATGGTGTTCCTTAACAACATTTCACTTGAATAGTGCTTTTTTATTTTTCAAAAATTCGAAACTAAAAAGAGACGGCGAAAATCCACGCTGCTTGGAGGGAGTCCTCAAGTAAACATAAGAATCACAATTAACAAGTGAATTATGTTCCGAACATAGTACTCTAGATGGGATTGTACAATACTTAATATTTTAGCTTCCTTTTCTTATGAACAAACGACAGAAAATCAATTAAGGGTGCGTTTGATTGTTAATATTTTCCATGAAAAATATATTTTTTCCACGTAATTTCTTACTTTTGTGCTGTTTGATTTACAATTTTTTCCATAGAAACTATTTTCCTACTTTTGGTCAAGGGGCCTTATTTTCTTTGAAAACAGGGAAAATATTTTTTTTAGGGAGATGTGATTTTTATTTTTCAAATAATTCGCTCTCTCTTTCTCTCTCATCTATCTCCTCTCTCTCATCTACCTATCAATAAAAAATGGACAAGTATAATATTTTATAGGTTGAAAATTAAATCAATCAAACACATTTAATTAATAATTTTCATACAAATAATTTCTAGACAATTGAATTAGCTAGAACTTATTTTTTTCCCATGCAAATTTCATACTCGCAATCAAACGCACCCTAATAGTTTAATACTAATATCATGAAAATAACTTACTTTTTCCTCTAACTTGAAATATGTATTAATGAACATAAAATCAGCCTTCTCAACATTTGGAAATTGATTCAGCACCATCTGGAAATAAGCAGGATAGGATCCATGTACAGAAATGTACGAGGGCATGTCCGGCAGATCAAGTGGAGGCAATCCAGGAATCTCGACAGGCAGTGTAGAAACAGGCAGTTTCAACAACCCATGATGCACATAATAGTACACATAATTAACAGCACAAGCCTGTGTGAAAAAACAGGCTCCAAGAATGCCAAAATCTTTGGCCACATCCAAAGCCCAAGGCAAAAATGTATCATAAACAATACAATCAATGGGATGGTTTGTTACTTGGTACTTTCGAATGAGTTCTGCCACGGTTTTCGAGCCTTCTTTTTCCATACGCGCCAGATATTCGTCGATATCACCAGCTTGAGCAAAACCACCTTCGTCGTAACCATCAGAAAACGTATCGATCCCGACTGTGTCAGATTTCAGGCTGGTGGATTTGGAAATATAATTGGTGATTGCTAAGGTGGCTTTCGTTCCTTTAGAGACTAATCTCTTGCAGAATTGGCACATGGGATTTATATGGCCTTGGCTTGGATAAGGAAGAGCCAAAATATGAGCTCCATTGGCCTTCTTTTGCTTATCCATTGCACCAATGCAGGCTTTTGAGATCTTTCAGCAGGCTAGTGTGTGTGTTTATACAAATTGTTGACAATTATTTTATTATTACACAATAAAATACTGGGCAGGTGGGATCTGGAACATCATAATTATTGCTTTCATTTTGGAGTTTTTGATAAGGAATCAAATGCCATGTGACTGTAGGACTTTGAATTTAGAGCACTACATTGTCTCTATTTCACAAATACAAACGCTACACGTATGTTGGCCTTCCGTATGGTACACCGTGATTGTTTTGATTTAATTAATATAGGACATATTATTTTAGTGGTAATTGGGGCAAATGGTCTATTTCATAATATAGTTTGGGATTTTAGCCTTTGACCACAATTAATGATTTAAAATAAATATTTTAATTCAAAATTAATAGATTACCTAAATTACTCATATTCCATCACAGTGAATTCTTCTATTTCATACACAATTTAAAACCAACAGTAAAATGACATACTGCCGTTTTAAACGACTGAATGCCGTTTTAACTGATTTTATGTTTGTATCAATTTA